ACTCTTGCCTTTGCTCTTCCTCTTCCATCCTCGCTGTGCGTGCTCTCCCTGGAAGGTGGGGGTGCTGGTCTCCGCCTCGCCTGTCGGAATGGATCCATGGAGGAAGTGCTTTAGAAAGAATCGTTTCTCCTTGCCACCTAATTTTTTAATATTCCCCAATTGAGCCTTGCCCTTCAGTCGTTTGTGTTTTTCTTAAACTTTGTTTTGAAATAACTGTAGATTCGCAGGGAACTGCAAAGCAGCGCTCAGGGGAGTTTCATTCACCCTTCTCCCCATGTGAATGTCTGAAACAATTCCAGTCCAGTACCAAAACCAGTACAAGAACATTGCTATGGTCCATAAAGCATATTCAGATCTCACCGGCCAGACACACACTCCTATTTGTACAAGTGTGTGTGTGTGTGTGTGTGTGTGTGTGTGTGTGTGTGTGTCTCCGGGTGGGGGCGGGGCTCCCTGTGGTTTACCACACGTGTAGCCTCGTGTATCCACCGCTACAGCCAAGATCCAGAACACCCCAGCCTCCCTAGACTCCATCGTGTCACACGTCTGCGGCCGTCCGTGCCCACGCCCTCGGCCCCATCCCGCGTGCCTGACAGCCACTCATTTGGCATCCGTCTCCACGCTTGTGTCGTTCATGAGTATTACACAATGGAAGTCACGCTCTGTGTGTCCTTGTGAGGTGGGCTTCTTTTCATTCAGCATCATTTCCTCCAAGTGTATTCACTTGAGTAGTTTTTTAGAAGTTTGTACTGCCTTCTGTATGAAACGCGTTCGTTCCCCAGCCACACGTGGACTGTCTCCGCTCCTGGAGCACGCCGCTGCCGACCAGCGCTCTCCTGGCCTGCGTTCAGCTCCTTCTGCGCCGCTCTCCCTGCCCTGTGCCTATACCCTGTCTGTTCTAGCACCAGTTATGTACTCCTCACACCCTCTGATTCTCCACTTGCAGGCAGAAGGCAGAGGTCGTGTCCCACTTACCTTTCTTTCCCCAGCATCTAGTACAGTGCCTGAAATGTAGGAGGTACTCAGTAAACTCTTTTTTTGAATGAATGATGGTGGAAGCTGCTCTGTTTGGTTCTTACATTGTGTCTTGAATACGTGATCTTTCCAGTGAGACTCTAAGCGAGCCTGTCAGCCCCTTGAAAGCAGCCACGACATCCCGTTTACTCGCGTGCACTGGGTCCCAGTTAGGGCTGCGTTAGGGGTGTGTGTGTGGTTCAGTGAGTATGTGCCTTCGTGTGTGTTGGGATGAAGTGAGGGCGTAAGTGTCGACGGGGCTGGTTTCCCAGCTGCCCAGCCTGACCCCCCACAGTCAGCAGGACGGACCTGGAGATGTCGGGGCTGAAGACGCTAGAGCATGTGGCAGTGACCGTCTCCATCACTCATCCACGACGCGGCAGCTTGGAACTGAAACTGTTTTGCCCCAGTGGCATGATGTCCCTTATCGGCGCCCCCCGCAGCATGGACTCGTACGTATGCCTGCCCGTGCCTTCTGAGCTTTTTTGGGCAACGAGGGCCTTTGCGAGGAAAGGATAGAGGGAAAGTGGGCGCCGGCGCATCCTCAGCTGTCCTGGCACTGGCTGGCCGGGGCGGCGGGAAGCCATTTCCTCGCTGCTTTGTAGAAGTCCCTTACAGCGTGCTAAGCACTGCACTTTACTTTCTCTAACCCTTACAAGAACGTTGCAGAGGAGACTTGACCCTCCTTTTACAAAAGAGGAAACAAGTCACAGAGCTAGTAAGTGCCTGAGGAAGTAACACTAAGCCTAGATCTCTCGAGCTCCCCGGCCTGTGCTCTCTCCACATTTGCTTTTCCCAGTAGGCCATGCTGACACGAGTCCTTCATCTCATGGGATGCCCGGGGAAGGGCCAGCGCTTGGGGACCCCTCGTAGCACGCTCCCCAGTGGCTGTAGCTCAGGCCACAACGGCTATGTTTTGATGGCTACTACAGTTAGGAAATCATGTTCGTGGGCAAACGGTCAGTTTCCTGCCCTACGCCTTCTGGGTTTTCTACTCTTTTCTTCTCCCCCAGAGATCCCAATGGCTTCAATGATTGGACCTTCTCCACTGTGCGGTGCTGGGGGGAAAGAGCGAAGGGGACTTACAGACTCGTGATCAGGGATGTAGGTAAGCCTGCCTGCCCTCCCGTCTGGTCCCTCTGGAGCTCAGAATCCCCGCAGAAACCATCCCATGGAGGAGACATAGGGTTGCCATTGGACCGACAGGGTAGATGCCAAGAAATACATCCCATCTAAAATATGGGCACTGAAATCTAAAATTGTTCATTGATACTACCTTTCATATTCCTTGGAGAAGTGACTGATCCATTTTTCCTCAGGATAGCAACAAAAATTCCTTGTTGAAACCACATTTCAAGTCCTTTCACATATAACCATCCTTCGACCAGCCCTGGTAGGCAGGTAAGGGCAGGACTAATTTTCACCATTTTTTGTTTTTGTTTTCTGTTTTTTGTTGTTTTTTTTTTTTTTTAAACTGAGGCCCACCCAGAGGTCTGAAGTGACTGGTTCAAGGTCATACAATATTCCAGTGAAGAGACTGGAAACCGAACCCAACTCTCCTGGCTTCCAGCCAAGTTAGGTATTCACTAGACTGCTGGTTTTCAAACCTTTCTTTAATTTAGTAGAAGGACATTTTTTTTTTCCAAGCAAAATCCCAGCTGAAACCCTAAAATATGAAAGAGAGAAAGGCAGAAAGTCTTCGCTTCAGAGTCCACCTTTCAGCCTCCCCGTCTCCATCCCTGAGGGCCCCCCCCCGCCCCCCGCGAGGCACATCTGCAGAACCCCTGGGCCGCGGGACCCAGACCACTACCGTGGCAGACAGAGCCTGAGGTCGAGTGCCCCCAGGTGGCGGGGCGGGCGGGGCTGTTTGCATGGCTGCGGAGGGGCAGGGCTCATGGACTAACCCGCTTGCTGCTCTAGGAGACGAGCTGCTCCGGGCTGGGACCCTCCGGCAGTGGCAGCTGACCCTCTACGGCTCTGTGTGGAGTCCAGTGGACATCAGGGACAGGCAGAGGTGGGTGCCAGGCGCAGGTGCGGGGGCTGGGGGTGGGGGCAGCTCCCGGGGCCCGAAGAGGCCACGTAGGGAGCTCCACCTCCCTGGGAGCCTGCAGCACGCCCGCCCCTTCTGGCTGTGAGGCATCCTCCCTCTCCAGCTGTGAGGTGGGAGAACCGTGAGGGGAAGGAGTCGGGGAACCAAGCTCAGGAGGGCGTCCTCATCTCTTGTTCTCCACAGGCTGTTAGAAAGTGCCATGAGTGGAAAATACCTGCATGATGGCTTCACTCTGCCCTGCCCTCCGGGGCTGAAAATCCCTGAGGAGGACGGTTACACCATCACCCCTAACACCCTCAAGGTGTGAGGGCCCAGCCTCCAGCTCCAGGCGGGTGGGCGGGCAGGAGTGTCCTGGGGGATTTAGTCCTTGCTGGGGTACTCCAGGTGACTTGAGAAGTGGGGGGTTCAGAGGAGCTGGCCGGGTCCCCACTCGACTAGCTAGCTCTGAGAGGGCGCTCCTTGGGTGGGGGAGGCAAGTGCTTTGGGGTGGGAGAGGCAGTCCCTGGAAGGTGACAGACTTTCTGAGCTCATTGTTCTGGTTTGAGAAAAGCCACAGGCTTTGGGAAACCATCCCTAACTTGGGTGCTTGACTTTTCCCCAGACTCTGGTGCTGGTGGGCAGTTTTACCATCTTCTGGACCCTTTACTACATGCTGGAAATATACCTGAGCCAGAGGAATGTGGCTTCTCACCGAGTTTGTAGGAATGGACCCTGCCACTGGCCCCAGCGAAGCCAAAAAGCCAGGGAGGAGGGGACAGAACTAGAATCGGCGCCACTTTACAGCAGCAAGGATCCGGATGGAGTGGAGACAGAAAGTGAGGGCCCTCCCACCACCTCTGATCTCCTTGCCCCAGACCTGCTGGATCGAGGGGCCTGGGGCCTGTCCCAGGACAGGAGTACCCTGAACTGCCCTCATCATTACCTAGCCCCAGACCTGTTGCAGGGGAAAGAGGAGCAGATTTGCTGACGCAAGGCCCAACAGGCTCGACATGGGATAGGTTCTTCCTTCCCAAAGCCGGGGAAGCCTGGAAGGCTGCTCCGAAGTCCCGGGAGCTCTGGGGAGAAGGCAGCCCTGATGCTAACATCAGGAATCCACAGGCCGAAAGAGCACCCTCTGACTACGCTCAGGAAGGGCGAAGGCCTTAATACGCCGTGACAGAGGAATCGTGCCGGAGAATAGTGTGGCCACGCCACTGGATCTTCCTCCGACTGAACAGGAGCTTCTGGTGAGAAGGTCTTGGACAAGGGCTCGCCCCCCCCTCCACAATTGGGCAGGCCTGCCTCCTCATTTCTCCTGGGCAAGCTGGTGATGTGGGTCATGGGGACAGGGGGGGGCAGGGCCTGCTATGGCCAGAAGAGCCTTTCCACAGAAACGTCACCAGGGTCCCTCGGGAAGAGGGCTCGGGGTGAAGGCTGGGAAGAGCCCGTGGATATTCGCCTGTCCTGTTAATGACCCAGGACCTAGAAACTGCAGGCTTTTCCTCTCCCTCCCTCCCGTTTCTGCCTCCGCCTGGAACCTCAGACCTACTGGTACGGCAGTTAGCCCTCAGCCTAGCACACCCGCCCTGAGAGCAGCTGCCTCCCTGAGCCCTGATCAGAAGCCAACCGTGAACACACCCCTGACTCCTTCACCATCGCCCCCCACCCTCCATCCTGAAGGATCGGTACGATGCTCCTGGCAAAGCCGCGGATGGGCGCGGCTCCCCGGGGCCTGCACGGCTTCACTAGGTGGGTCTGCAGCAGGACTATGACAGGGGTCAGCCACTGCCACTCCAGCCCTGTGACCACCGTGTCTTCCTCTGCAAAGCGCTCAGGGAAATGGCCTTACCCGCTGGAGGCCAGCCGTCTGCCTGACCGGCTGGGACTCCTCCCGGCCTGGGCCTCCTCCCCTCTTCTGAGCTAGTTGGTTGATCTAAAAAAATTTTTTTTTTTAACGCTTAAGATTTGGGTTTCTCTTTTCACAGCAACATTTGGTTGAATGTTTTTCTGCACAGCTTTTCCAAAATAAAAACCTTCCACGCAACTCTGCTGCTCCCCATCCCCTTTCATTTGCCTCCCAGAGCTCATGAAAGTTGCCAAGTCGCTCCCCTTGGCCTTCGGTCCCCGGTTCCTGAGATCCACTCTCCTCCTTCCTCTGCCTGGGCCTCTGAAGGAAGCTGACCCCCCCTGGGATCCTAGAATTCGAGGGGTCCTTCACAGCTGGCGTCCAGGAACACCCGTAAATGTTCCCTGCCTCTTGCCTGCTCATACCTCCTGCAACCAGAAGTGACTAGGGCAAATCAAACTCTGCCAGCCAGGCCTGAGAAAAGATTGATGTATATATTTGTTTCTTTTCTGAATTTCAACCCCCAAAATATTCCAGCAAAAAAATGGGGGGAGGTTGGGCTGGGTTTCCTTCAGTGGGCATCTGCTGCCAAGGAGGATGGTGGACTTGCCCCCTGCCCAGCTACCCCCAGCCCACGTCCCCCGCCCCTGCCCGGCCCAGGATGGGGAAAGATGGTGGGAGACGGTAGGGGAGCTGGGAGGAGGGTTAGGGGAGTGGTGCTTTGGGGTAAGAAGTTGGGCTGAGGCTGAGGGGTGGGGAGAGCTGCCCAAGTGCAGTCACCTTTGCTCAGTGACGGAGCCTTGAAGCTTGGCCGGGGCTGAAGGAACTACACAGGTGTGGGTGAGGCTGGCTAGGCAGGGTAGCTGCGGCCGACGAGCTGGGGAAGGGCAGGGCCGGGGGCTGGCCCTCTCCCTCTAACTGATGATCTGCCGAGGCCGTCCGTAGCCTGTCATGCCAGCCTGGGAGGCCCCTCTGTTGCTGCCCATCTGTAGGCCAATGACATGCTTGCCCTCCTGCAGTTGGCTCTCTGTGAACTCCCTCTTATGCTCCTGGGCTTTCCTAGAAGCAGGGAAACCAGGATAAAGACTCACTGGGACTGCACATTTCCCCCCGGGGTTCTGTTTCCTCCGTCACTTCCTAGCTTCATCCCATGTCCCCTCACTTCTCTTGCTTCCTTCACCTAGCTTGCCCCCTGGGCCAGGGACACTGGCAGGCAGCAGGGACCCATCTTGCCCCTCGCCTAGACCTTCACTTTGTACCTTCCGACTCTGCTGCCCCACCTCCCTTGGCTTAACGGTTAGCCCAGGCCACCCCCCCATCTCACGCAAAGATGCAAGCTTAGCGCACAAGGAACCCCCAGTGGCCACGTACTTCATAAACCAGTTGGGGTCTCCACGGTAGTACCCATCATTCTTGGTCACCGCCAAGCTGCCCAGGGCCATCAGGGTCCTCTGCACCGCTGCCAGATCTTTACCTGGGAGAAGAAAAGGGGATGGGGGGTGACCTTCAGGACCAGGTACACGGGACTCCATGGCAGGGCCTGCCCCGCCTCTCCGAAAACTGGCCAACCCCGGAGGCTAAGGAGGCTGCGGTAGATCCTAGGATGCCCTTGAGTATGGTTGGCATTCCCGCTCTCCAGACCTGTTGTCGTGGCATGCTTGGGTCATCCCTTGTCCTCTCTGCCTCAGCTGCCTGTCCTCCACCTGCCTCCTCCGCCCCTCCTCTCTCTGTACCTTCAAAGAGGTCAACAGTCTGGAACATGTCAGTCTTGGTGACCCCGTAGTCCTCAGCTGCCTTCAGGAACTGAGCCACCTGCTCCATCTGCTTGAAGACCATGGAAGGAGGGTTCTCGGGCACCTTCACTGGCTTGGAGCCATCAGGGTACAGGCTGTTCACCAGCTTGCTCAGAATCTGCCAGGCAGAGAATGCAGCTTGGCACTCAGCTCGGGGTGCCTGCCCCACAAGCCCAGCAGGGTTGTGAAGCTCCAGCCCCCTTTCACTTCCGTGAAGTGCCACTCACCATGCCATTCTTCAGCCAGACCTGGAAGCCCAGGCGCCCGCGGTCCGGGCGCCCCACATCGGGGCCACACTGCACTATGATCCACTCCACGAGCCGCTCCTCCAGGTCCTCGTCATACTTCTTCTCAATTTTGGATTGTACTTCACGGCTCATGCCGTAGGAAGGACCCTTGTTGGCCATGTTGTGGGAGAGCTAAAGCAGCACCGGCCAGAGAAGGGAGAAGGTCAGAGGATCAGAGAACCAGCTCTGCTCTCACTTGTGCTAGGCAGGCCTTGGAGCTTCTAGGGGGCCGGGGGGGGGGGGCGGTGCCCATCCATCCTAGATATTTATTTACCTCCCCTGGTTTCCTCATTTGGTTTTCATGGCACTGCCCATCATCCCCTCCGTCCAGGGAGCCTCCCTGAACTTAGGGACCAGAAACGGGAGACCAGATCTTTAGAAGTCTAGAGCAAGGATCAGTAAACTTACTTTTGTAAACAACCGGAGAGTAGTAGGTATTTTAGGCTTTGCTGGACATATGGTCTCTGCCATTGTAGCATGAAAGCAGCCTTAGACAATATGTAAACAAGTGAGCATGGCTTTGATCCAATAAAACTTTATTGACACAAACAAGCAGCAGGCTGCGTTTAGCGTATGGGCCAGAGTTTGACAAACGCTGGTCTAGAGCATTCTTTCTTTGCCAAGATTGGCCACAGAGGCACCGGAGATGCCTTCCAGAGGAGACCGCACTGCCCGCCTCCCCAGGCGCCAAAATAAAGCAGCAGGTTTCTTTGTCCAGGTAGGCGTGAGGTGGTTTGTGGGTTCTGCCTGAAGTTACAGAGTTCCCTTACTTCTCACCCCACTTTATCCTCTAGCCCCAAAGCTGGAACTCCAAAGCCCAGCTCTTTGCCAGGTCAGCCCGGCCTCTGGCCTGCAGCTGCCGAAGAGGCTCACACTTATCCACCCCCGGCAAGGTCTAGGAAGCCAGCAAAACCCACGAGCCTTTGGCCAAGAAGCTGCACTTTCTCAGGTGGGCCAGGAGAGAAAGAACTGCTAGACCCAAGGATTTTCCCTTGTGCCCCAGGCTCCTGCCACTCTAGTAGCTGAGTAACCGAGGGGCCAGAGTCCTCGGGGGACATCCCAGAGCCAAGAAGCTGCCAGCCAGAACATGGGGAGCCCCTCCCTGTGCAGACCAGCAGCAGCTGCTGTCCTGAAGGTCTAGGGCTGGCACTGCTCGGGAGAGCTCCAGGTGTCACCGGGGGTGGTGCCCAGAGCTCCCTGGGAAAGCCCTCTGAGAAAGGGACCAGATGAGGCCAGACCCGTCACCTGGCCTCGGAGAGGTCAGAGGTTGGGAGGGAGAGAGTGCTCTGAGGATGGGGGTAGTCCGCACGCTACCCGACTCCCTCTCTTGCCACCATCAGACCCTCTCCCCACTCACCACCACGGAAAGCAGGGTGAGTGTCCTCACTTGCCATGGTCCCCGGTCAGCTGCCCTACCCTTCCTTCCCCGACAGCTGACAACTTTCTGTATTCAAGTTCCCCATCGGCACCGAGGAGGATGTGATCCATCTCAGAGAGCTGCGCCTTCACCCAGGAGCTGTCTGGGACTCCCTGCCAGCATGGCCTCCTGCTAGTGACCTGGGGGAGCGGCCCCTCACCCAGGGCCTGAAACAGCATTCTTCCCAGCCGCCCTCCACTCCTCCAAGGCATCCCCTGAGGGGACAGCAAAGCCTGAGACAAAGAACACGAGATGGATTCATCTAAAGTCCAGCTATTGGGCAACTCACTACTCTGGGATTTGTAAAGCCCCAGAGGGTGGGGCCACCTTTGAGCACCACCAACCATCACCCCCTCCAGCTGACCCTGGAGAATCCAAAAGCAGTCTGCTCTGTTTCCCTATAAACAGCCCGGCCCCTTCCTTCCCCACCCTGCCATGTGTCTCACACCGGCTTCCCCGCCTCCCAACCACTGGGGGGCAAAGACTAGCGGTCAAAACCCACAAGTCAGCTGGGACCAGGTGACTTCGGCCCATCCTTCATCCTGGCCCCGGCTCAGCCTTCACCCCACCAGCCCAGGCAGGCAGCGTGCATCCCGGGGGTCCAGGCACCCACCACCTTCCACAAGCCTGGCCTCCTGGTACTCTCCACCCCACCTGTCCTCCCATCTGCCCTCCCTCCCAGAGGGTGGGCTGGGCCCGCGAGGAACAAGACCGAAGCTGATTGCCCCCCTCCCCCGCCGCCCCCAGCAGCGTTCAGTCTAGGCGATTCAGAGCAGACAGCGAAGGTATCCAGGCTCCCAGTGACAAGGACACAAAGTTGCAGCCCCTAGTTCTAGAGACAATATTTGGATTTTGATCAGAACACGGAGGGGGTTGAAAGGCACCCCACCCCCACCCTTCTCCCTCCTGGTGAAGAGTCTGAAAGTGGAGAATTCCGAGAAATCCCTCTCAGTCCTCTGACCAAGCCCTTCCCAGTCCCACCTTGATGCTGCTGGGAAGAGGAAAGGGAGAGGGAGAGGGTTGCCGGCCAAGCCACCCAGAGGCCTTTCTAGATAAAGCCTCCTGGGACAGGACAGGCAGAACAGCCTGGCTGCGCTGTGATCCTCCTGCCCCGTGGCTCCTGTCAGCTTCCCCTCCCCCGAGAGAAAGAATAAAGTCCAGCTGTGAAGGGGCAGCGTGCACCTGCTACCACAGGACCCCACAACAACTAGCAGAACCAGGGGTCTCTCCAGGACCACTGGGCCCCCTCTCTCTTCGAAAGAAGACACAGCAAATAGGAGCGAGCGTCTGTGGATCTCTGACAGGGCAGGAGGGTGGGCTCATCTCAATTCTAGGGACAGAGAAGAGCGGCCCTATTCACTGCTACCCTTTGGATAGCAACCACTGAGGGAAAGCAGCCAGACCCTTCGGGAAGGGCCCAGGGCCCCAGGCCCACTCAGGCCAGCACTGCAAAGCTCCTGCAGGGCCCGCCCCTCACCCCTCTCTCTGCAGTGGGGTCACCTCCCATTTTCAGAGGATGGAAGGAGCCATGTGTCCAGAAAAGCGGCTCTCATGCAGGTCCCCACACCCTGCCACGCCTGCCTGTGGACCTCCCCGCTGCCTCAGTGGCTCCCCGGGGCTTCTCCTTTGCTGCTCAGGCCCTGCGTACCCGCCCGCAGGCCCCTGCTCTCCAGCACCAGTGTGTTCGCACACCTCCTTGCCTCCTTGTACAGCCTCCTAGATGGACACCAAACGGAGCCTTGTGTCTAACCCAACACCTTGAGCCCATCACAGACCCCATAGGCATGACAAGGGCTGAATGCGGGGAGTCCCCCTCACACCCCTGTCGTCAGGGTCTTCACCATCAATCCCTCTGCATCAGCCAAGTCACCCTAAACATTTCAACCAGCCTGAGGCTGCCCAGTCCAAGCAATATGGGATTCTAGTAACCTCACCTCCCCCCCATCAAGTAGGACCACTTCCCCATCTGGAGATCAGGAATGCACGCTGATGGAGAGGGTGGCCTTCTCCAGCCGAGGAGGTGGAGACCAGGACCTCTGAGGGCCCCGTCCCCAGTATACCCACTGCTACCGTCAAGCCCTAGCCTACCTTCCCTCCAACCCGGGGATACATGCACTTACAGGGGTTCCTCAGGGCTCGCAGGAGGGAAGGAGCTCTCCGTTGTCTGAACTTGGACAGACAGGATGGGGCGCTGGCTGAGTGGGGGGTTTAAAGGCCTGCTGCCGTGGTGATGTCAGCCTCCCCCGCTGGCTCACCCCTCGGCCCCCTCCCTGCTAGAAGAACCCAGCCGGTTCCCCACCCCCGGCCCCCCCAGTGACTCCACACAGGCTCCATATTTGGGGAAAGACACCAAGTTGGAGCAGTCTGCCGGGGGCTGCCCGAGACATTCTCTGCGTGCTTTGGAGATGGAGCGGGCGGGGCGGAGCTGAGCTGCCCGGGCGGGAAGCTGCCGGGGAAAAGCCTTTTATGGACAGGACCATGAAGGCCTTCCCCGCTCTCTGGACTTAGGGCTGCTCCTTCTTCACTGCTCCCTGCCCCCGAGTTTGAGGGCAGGGGAAATTCAAAAGGGTCTGGCCAGAGAGAGGGGGAAAGAGCTGCGGAGATCCATCCCTGAGGCTGGTGGTGGACCAACCAGCCACCCTGTCCTGGGGGTTTCACTCTCCTTGGAATAGGAGCTAACCTTTACTGAGAACCTACGACATGCCAGGCAAATGCTTTGCACATGCTCTCATTTAATCCTCAGGGCTGTATCGTGGGAGCATAATTACTAACCTCATTTTCAGATAAAGAAACAGGCTCAGAGTGCCTGAGTAAGCTCAAGACCACGTTGCGGGGGGGTTGGGGGGGCGCAAGAGTGGCGGAAGCTGGGTGTCCCTGCTGGCCCCCGTGTGGGAGGGGCCTGGCTGGCGGACCCACTCCTCAGTCGCCCCACCCTGCTCAGGTTGAGAGCTTTCGGTGGGGGTGGGTCTTGAGTTCCCTGCCTTAGATGCGGGTGGAATCTGGGGGCTCAGCGGCAGCTCAGTCGACCCTGGCCCCTATCCAGGCGGTTTCTAAGGCCTGGCAGGGCTGAGACGCCAATACTGGGCGGGAGGCTCAGAGGCTGCTATCCTCCCTCCCTCCCTGTGGAACAGTCCCTACCTACCCTAGAGAACAGACTGGGCTTCATCACTCCTGGAAGGAGACCCACCGATATGTGGCTTGCACCTGGCCTCAGGGGTCTGGGGAAAGGGTACCCGAAGAAGGTGAGCCTACCAGTGGGGTCTCTTGAGCTGCCCACTGTGAGGGCACCCCACCCCTTTCCCTAGGGCGGCCTGGCAGGGAGGAGCTAACACTCTCCACCACACCCTGGACACCCTCCAGGAGAGGGGCAGCTGAGCTCGGCACTGGGCAGTGGGCGGCGGAGGGGACGCCCACCACAGCCAGCCTCCTAACGCCAGAGCCCAGCGACGCAGAGCTGGAGTGCCCCCCAGTGGTGTTGGCTGGGAAGTGCAGGGAAAGGGGCGGGGGATTAGCTAGAGGGCAGCGCCCCTCTCCTTAGGTCTGAATTCGCCAGCTTTCTGATCCCCCAAATCTTGGCCTCCTAGGCCTGTTGGAACCGAAATCAACTTTCTAGGGTCGTTTCCAAATTCCCTCTTCTGGGAGCCCGCCTGCCCTCCGCGCATGCGCCTTTAGCCACCATACACTCTCCATCTTGGGTCCCCGGAGAACCAGCCCCGCCTCGGCCTGCATTCTCCCGGCCATTAAAGTCACATCAGGGAGCACTGGCCGCACTTGGCGGCCGGCCAGCCTGGGAGAGGCTCAGGCCAGAAGGGAAGCCGGCCTGACTTGCAGGTGAGGGGCCAGGTGGGCAGAGGCTCTGCCATTTGCCAGGTAACGGGGGGCGGCGGCGGCGCGCAGACTTCTTCACCCCATCATCTTCACTGCCCAACAGGTGCCTGGCACGGAGCAGGCCCCTGGTACATGTTTCCTGAGCTGATGCAGTTGCTCAAAGGGGAGGAGAGACACGGGGGACTTGAGGACACATGGAGAAAACAAGGGAGACTCTCTTTTTTTGAAAAGAGAAAGGCAGACCAGAAGAGCTGGGAAATGGAGGGCCTCTGTCCCACCCTTGCTTCTCAACACCTCCACCCAGAACGGGGGAGCAAACAGGGGCCCGAGAACCGCGTCTGGCTGTTTCTTTAATTGAATGCAGACTCATTCATAGAAAACAGAAATGCAACCACAGCCTGGAAACATTAAGCGGAGTTCTGAAAAAAGATCCAGATCCACCTCCTCTCCCCAGCCCCAGGGAGAGCTATAAAAACAAGTTGGGCAGAATAAAACACACTCCCATCCCCGAGGCAGAGGCCCGACCTGGCCTCCCCCAGTCTTGGCATCTGGAACGAACCAGGTAGGGTGACGGGGATCGAAGTACCAGAGCAGCTAGGGGCCCAGAGCTGGGGCAACTCAGTGTAAACTCCAAAGTTTCCTACATATATGTGTGACTAACACAAAACTTGGCCGAAGACAGGACGGAAACACAGAAGCCAGCCCTGGGTCCTAGAGTGAGGCTGGACCGGGGACACGGAGGGGAGTGTCATGTCCCTTCCTGAGCCTCCTTCTAAGATTAGGCACCGGGGCTCCCACGGCTGTGGAGGAGGCAGGAGAGGCTGGGCGCCTCCTATACCCCTCCTTTGCCCCTGGACATTCTTGGGCAGTGTCAATGGCACTGGAAGGCCCCCAGCTGGGGCTTGGCAGGACGGAGGGTTGGAAAGAAAAAGGAAGGGAAGGGGGAATTGATCTCTCCCTCCAATCCTGGTGCCAACATCAGTCTGGGGGCCGACGGGATAGGAAGGTGACCTCTGAATTCAGCCGCTCAGATCAAGGCGACTCTCACGTGGACTGACCCTTACTACTACAGAGCCAGTCCCAAGCACAGGTCAGAGGGGGGAGGCTGCACTGCCTGCAGCCCCTCTTAGGCCTTAGCACCAAAAGCCTGGCACCAGCTGGCCGGCCTCCGAAATCCTACACCCCCGTTCATCCCGAATGGAACGGGCAGTGATGGCAGTCAGGGACAGCCCCAAAGGCAGTGGGGCCCTGGCGCAGGACAGAGAATCAGGCCCAACCAGGCCCTGGATTGGAGCTCGGGAAGAAGGAAGAAAGGGCTCGGGGTCGCAGGCTCCTGGGGAAGGGAAGGACGGGCAGAAGAGATGAGATGGGCGGGGCAACACCACTTCCCTCCTTCCTCCTGCAGAGGGACAGATGGGAGAGCCAATGGACGGGGCCCATGAGAGGCCCTCAACACTGAGAAGCAGAAGCCAGTGGCCAACATCTGGGGCTTTAGGGGAGCGGGCCTCCTCCCTGGCAGAGGGCAGATGCAGGGCTCATGGCCCCCGCCATGACTGTCCCAGGCCAAGCGTGGGCTAGACCTCGCTGTCCTGCCACCACCCACACTGGGCCGCAGGGCGGGGACTCACACCCCCGGAGCTACAGAGGCTCTGGGCAGTGAGGCAGAGAAGCTCGGGGGCCCCCGTGAGGAAAGCAAGGGGCCTGGCTCCTGCTAGAAGACGTAGATCTTGTCCCGCTGCACGGTGTCCAGGTCATCGTCCAGGGTCAGCAACACCTGGGGGTGGGGGTGGACGCTGAGTCAGGCGCAGGCCGCCCTGCAACCTGGGCCTCTACCCCACCCCCCCCGTGCTGGGGCAGGGCAGCCTCACGGACCAGGAATGACCCAAACATGGCAATGGAGGACAGGAAGTGCCAGATGTCGTGGTCATCAAAGAAGTCCAGGAGGATGCAGTCGCGGTTGTGCTCCCGTGACTCCGCAGGCGTTTTCTGGGGAGGGACAACGGGGAGAGCCGCCTGGGACGCTGCCCACCCAACCAGGACCAGACCCGGCCTGCAGCTCCCTGTGTCTGCCCTGCTGCGGCGCCAGGCACGCGCACCCTCCTTCTGACTCACCCCTGCCCTGTCTCCCACATCTGAGCATCGGCTCTTTGTTGCAGATTTCTCCCGGAGGGTGCTGGCTTCTGCCCTTTCCTTTCCCTTAGACCCTCCTCCCTCCGATTCTTCTGCCCTGTATCCGAGCGGCGGGGCGAGTCACCTCGAGACGCTGGAAGACCTCGGAAGCCTCCTACCTCGGGTCCCTGCCTTGGAATCAGCACCTGCAGGCTCACTTGTTCTCCAGAGCGTTGCCGGCGGGTCACCCCCCCTCCCCGCCCAAGGACAACACGAGCCATGACTGTGGGCCACGACCTAAGGCTGCTCAGGGTCCTCCCTGCTCCCCCATAACCCTATCCAACCAACACCAACCGGACAGCACTGTGTCTGGGGCCAACTGTGCCAAACGCTGAGATGACAGTGATTGTCCTGCCCTCGGGAGTTCACAGTCTCACTCAGTTCCCAAATTCCTGCTCTCGCTGACCCCGAATCTGCCTCGTCTAGTTCTGCCTCTGGGTCATGATTCCGGTCACAGCATCACTGGGCCACAGGGCCCTTTCTCATCACCCAAGGCCTTTAAGGCCATGAGCAAGGTCTGCCTCCACCAGGGAGCTTTCCTGGACCTCCTAACTCTGTCCTCTGTCCTCGCGTCCATTCCCCCTTCCTGTCTTGTCTATATGCTTCGCCTTGTGTAGCATACTGCAAAGAGCAGTCCAGGAACTGATGGTCTCTCCCTCTCTCTCCTGAACTAGATTATAGGTACTTCAAAGGCAGACACCCGGCCAGACTTGGTTCTGATCACAGAATCGAAATGTGATTCATGGCAGGTGCCTATGAGGCAGAGGGGAGAGCCTGGTACTTCTGGTTTCAAACCCTAGCCATGCCACTTGCGGGCTCTGTGCCCCTGGGCAGGTCCCTTGGCCTCTCTGAACCTCAGCTGCCTCATAGGTAAAATGGGGGAAGCCCCCATGCTGGCCCGTTGAGTGTCAGGAGGGTGAAGCGGGAAGGCGGCTGTGAGGGCATGGTTAGTGCTCACCAATGGTGTCTGTGAAGGGAAGTGGCTGTTCGTCGGCTCACAATGAGCCTGTGGGCCACTCCCCACCCTCTCAGCGGGGTCACCACTCACCTGCCAGGTGCTGAGTCCCTGGAAGAAGAAGAAGAGTGCAAAGCCCCACACCACGGAGGTGCAGAC